CCCCAAACTAAATTTTCACTACATGGTCTGCAAATAAGTTGTCTGCTTAATAGAAAAGTAATTGTCACTTCCTCTAAACTAACTTAACACCCATTGTCTGTTTTCCTTCTTTCTCCCTTGCCCATTTCTTCTTAGCATTTCCTAGGGCTGGAATAGCTACTCTTTACTTGTCAAGGGGTGACGGGGAGGAGACATTTTTACTTTGAAAAGTGGTTGTCTGCCTTTCTAAAAGTTAATGGAAACAAACCAAATGTCCATTAATAGTTGAATGAATAAATTGTGGTGTAGACTACATTGCTAGATAGTAACTGCACTAGTGGGGGTGAGGATTTAATGATATCGGTAACAGTTGAACCACTCTTTTATATTTGAAACCAATATAAGATTGTGTATCAATAATACTTGAATTAATAAAATATTGTGGTGTAGTCATACACTGAAATACTATACAGCTGTCAAAATAAAGTTATGTCCCACAACAGTATGCATAGCTCTTACACACATAATGTTGAAGAAGTCAGACACAGAAGAAAATATGCTATATTATTTTATTTTTTGTAGAGTAAAAAGAAGGTAAAACTAAAGTCAGAATGGGTTACTCTGGGGAAGAGAGGGAGTGAAAGAGGCTTATGGGCTGGTAGCAGTGTGTCTTTTGACTGAGGTGATAGTCAATGTGTTCACTTTATGACAATTCATCATCAGACCCTTGTGATTTATAAAATGTTTGGTGTTCTACTTTAATAAAACAGCTTATTAAGCAAACATGAGCCATACAAGATATGCAAAACTGCCCTTTTAGAGAATTAGATGTTTTTAAGCTCATTTCATTTGGCACCTTCAATAATATAAAAATGAATATATCTTAGCTTTATGTATCCATTTAACGGAAAGTAAATAAGGATAACCTAGAGGTTAGTTAGAAGTTTGTTGTTTTTCAAAGTCTTGAGAGGCCAAGAGCTAATTTACTTATTCACAGAACATTTTTTAGGGAAAAAATAAAATTTAACCCTTAGAAAGGCAAATACCAAATGATTTCACTTATTTGTGGAGTAAAAAAATAAAGCGAAACAGAAGGGACAAAATAGCAGTAGACTCATAGAAGGGACTAGTGGTTACCCAACTAGAGATTGGGGAGGATGGGGGGAAAGGGGGCAGGGATTAAGGGGCACAATAATTCACAATCACAATATAGGTTGGTCAAGGGGATGGTAGCACAGCACGGAGAATGCAGTTAATTCTGTAACATCTTACTACATTGACGGATAGTGACTGCACTGGAGGGGGTGAGGACTTGGTAATACAGGTGAATGTTGAGCCACTGTGTTGTATATTTGAAACCAACATAAGATTGTATATCAATGATACTTTAAGAAAAAAAGGTACAACAACAACAAAAAGAAAATTCAACCCTTGACATTAAAAGGGTAAGCTTTGTCACAATTATTCTAGAAGGATAAACTTTACCTCCTTTTTTGAGAAACTGCAGAAAAACAAGCCACTTGTTTTGATGTAGGAGAGGGCTAAGGGCTAAACATGTTTTAAACTCACCGCTACCAGTTTAGATTTTGGTTTCTATCCATTTATGCATTCTTTTCTATAAAGTTTTTATTAAAAAGTACCCTAGCATCCATACTCTCTGGGCCTCTTTATCTTCATCTGTAGAGTAAGGCTGTGGGACTAGAGGAATTCCTAATTTGTAATCTATGAATGGTCAGTTCTTTGAATCCCTAAAAATGTATCAGAATTATACATGCATGTGTATACATGCATTTTCTGGGATGCTATCCATAGTTTTCATCTGATTTTCACAGAGAAAACACAAACACTAACCAATTTCTAAGGTCCCTTCCAGCTCTAATATCCTAAGTTTGTGAAACAAACATTAATTTTCATGTAGATACATAGTTTTTACTTTAAGACTGATTAGAAGGATTAGTATTTTCATCTGATATCAAGTATTTTTAAATAGTTTTTTAAAGATTTGTGTTTTTGAACAAATTATAATTTAAAGTGTATCAGTGAGTTTAAAACATCTTTAGCCACTTAGCTCTCTCCTGTATCACCAGCTAAATACCACTAGTCTGAGACAGAATAAGGACAGTGTCCAAATATGCTCAGTGTTTTCTAACTGGGTGCTCATTCCTCTCCTGCCTCCTGAGACATGGGACAAGTAGAAGACGCAGGGGGATGAAGATGAGAGTGACTGGTAACACCTCAGTTTTCTCTGCAGTCAAGAACTCTGCCTAAAACAACTACTGATGCCATGAAGAGGTCTGGCTCTGCCAGAACAAAAACTGCACGACTGTCTTTGTCTCTGTGATAGTTATCACTTGCTGTCAACAGCCCTTAAAGCCCATTGGCCTGGTCCTGAGACCCTTAAGATGCAGGACCTTGAAAGTCCTAGTGACTTTTCATATTCTAACCCAGTCCTAGGTTTGTGGGTTACAGTTTAGCAAAACAGAAGAGCCTGGAGCACATTAAGTGTTTCAAAGGAGGGAGCGTGTTGATGCAAACGTAAGAGTACAGACTCAGAAAAGAACATTTATACAAATCAAGTAATCAAATATACACTCAGAAGAAAGTGGATTGGGATCACGGTACAGGCCTCATTTCTGATTCCAGTTCTACTTATTGCCAGAATTAATCTAGATGGCCCAGGTTAAATAATTTTCCTGAAAAAAAAAGCCAAATTTCTACTTTTTAAGTTTAAAAATATCTAAGCAAAATTATTTAGAAATGCGATGAGATACTGGATGTCTGTTAGCAAAAAAGAAAGCCATTGTAACCACTGTATTGGAGCTACTTCAGTTCTGAATTTTAAGACCAACAGCATCAAAGAAACGGGAAAATCACACCTACTGTTTAATTTTAGGTATGTTGTTTTTATTCAGGAGACTATTCCTTGACAAACTCTTAAATCACAAAGTCTGAATGAACCAAACTGCCAGTCCTCTAAAACAGCTCTGGGGGAGGCGTCTGCACAGCCCTTTCTCCCTGCATTGTTTTCAGATGCTGGGAACTGGGGTAGCTGGACCCACTGTCCACTGGGCACTAGAACAAGGTTTCCCTCTGTCTTGCTCCCCACAGAGCTGCCCAGGTTACCATCTGCCCTTGGGATTGGACCATCTGTTCTTGTGAAAGTTACAAAATAGTGTTTACAAAAATCCAAATTGTTTTTTTTGATTTATATGATCTAACCCTGAATCATAGAAGTGCTCCTATGATGTTTGAAATGCTGATTGACTCTACTTGTTTTAAATACTTTCTCAGATCCCCTCTACATTATTATCAGTAACTAATAGAGATGACATAATAAACAGATCTAAAATTCTGAGATGTCAGCATCTCAGTTCCTTTTTCAATTCATTAAGACTTCAGATCATACAGTGTTTTTGTATGTTACAAAAGTTGGTACAATACCCCTCTACCCAGGAAGTCTTAGAAAGAATTCCAAATATTACAATGAAATTGTTAACCAGAAATGTGACACTTCAGGCAGAACACATGCACAGAAAATTAAATCCTTTCAAACAATGACATTGCTATAGCCAGACACCCAATTTGTACTTAGTAGGAAATGCATTTCTGGTCTGGTACATTGGTGCTGTAACAAACTCCAGCTTGTCAGCTTTCCAAGTTGGTGGCTGCAGCTGAAATGTTTTTCTATGCTACCCTGTTAGACATTTGATTTGGAAATATAGAATTAGGATTCGGGAAGTCTGGATAGCTCTTTGCAGACCTTTCCTCTTAGAAGCACCCACGCTGTAGTCCAGTGTGTTCCAAAAGACTTCCAAAGGACCCCAGTTTCTCTCCTGCTTCCCCTCTTCCTAATAACCATCACATCAATCTGAGCCCACGCAGTAGTCCTACTTAGAGTCTAATACCAGTTCAGTCACTTATTTGTGACAAAAATAAGACAAAAAAAACTCATCTGTAACAGAGATTTCATCTATGAGAAAGGAGGCACTGCCCTGCCTTCTTCACATAATTGTCCTAAAATGAAAAGATATAAGAAATCTCTTAACAGTATAATGTGTTATATAATTTAAACATCACTGTTTTTTCTATGACAAGCAACAGCTTTGTCCTAAACCCAAGTTAGAAACACTATTACTGGTATTTCATTCAGCATCTCATTAGTTGATGACTAATATGATGAACTGGGAGAATGTGATGGATTTATTCTTTTTCCCTCTATAACCAGTGAGGCTCACTAATACGTGACCGGACAGTACTATTTCCAGTAATGGCAGGTGACAGAGCTAACACCGAGCCCTAGGATCAGTGGCCCGCTGTGACCGGTTCACTAATGAGCTGTGCCAGGGGAGGGCAGGAGCATTTCTTAATCCTTGACATTCTGATTCTTCTCAAACAGAAAACTGCAGAAGAGGGCGTTAGATACTTAGGCTGTAGCCATCAGAAACTAAGGTAACTTTCTATCGAACCACCTCAGACATTGGCTCACTCTGCCTAAGACCTGATGAATCTGCACTCTGTGCTGCCATCACGGGACAGTATTAAAGTTTTTGGACAAAAGAAAATGGACCACCCTGTCCATCCTGTTGCTTTAACTCACCAGTAATTTCTCTTGCAAATTTAAATAGTGTTCCTAGCACCCTTCTAGGGTCTTTGATGCTGCTCATTGTCATGAAGATCGCTTTTTGCAGACTGTATGTGTTTGCAGTATCACCTAGGTTCCTGAAAAAATTTCCCTTTAACTTTTATATACTATTGCCTATAAAAGGACCAAACTTTTCTTTCAGCAACATCACTGAGAACATCAAGTGTGCTCAGTGGAAGTTAAATGTCTTACATCTTGTTAATTCTTCTATTGATTAGAAAGCGTTCTATAAACCAGAATATGAAATCAGATTATACAGTTCAAGTTTCTTCTCTCACATTCAGCTGTTAACTAAGAATGGTATCAGAATGGAATGGCAGAATAGCTCCAAGTACACAAAACCTAGCTGGTACTAAAAGAAACACTGACTTTTCCTCAATATTGTACAATATTTTATTGTAACAAAAATATTTAGATGCATTTCATAGCAATATGTTATTATATAAGTACTGACTGAGAAGGATAAATTGGATAAACTGTACATTTAGCAATATCTTACTATACATCCAAATAATCTGGGTAATTCTGGGGAAAAGAGAAAAGATATAAAAGCATCCCTTTTTATATAATTCCACATTTTTTCCAGAGACTTTATAGAAACACAATCAATATAACAATTTAAATATAATTCTAACCTTAATATTAGAACCTGCAACATGTAAAATTTCCAGTCATATGTTGTTAGCATTTGCCAAATGATAATCAAATGTTTGTCAGACAGTGGTTTTAAGCTTGTAAGATAATATTCAAATGCTCTATACTGCCATGGTCCATTTGCTTGATTTTATACATCAGCTGAAATATCTTAGTAAACTCATTTTTTTCATCTGTTTAGTCTCTGTGTTATCACTTCTCGATACATAATAGAGATGTAGATAAGCAACAAAAAGATGACAAAGAAATCATCTAGAAAGCCTAGAATCCCAAACAAGGCTTCAGGTACAAAATCTAGAGGCGATATAAGGTAGAAAAAAGCTCCCATCAAACAGAGTATTATCCTGATACGGAACATCCAGAAAAGGCCCCCGACTGAAAACATTTCCCTGAATGCATGCCTCAGTAAAGTGGGTAGATCCATAATTCTTTCCATAATCTGGTAGGGGGAAGAACAGATATTATGATTTGGCATCTAGTACGTCAGACTTCAAAATAACAATTTTCCTACAACATGAATGATAGACTTTCACATATTCATTGAACACCATGTTTTCTAGTTATGCATTAAAAAAATAGTTCTCTGACTTCTAGGTTCTTATAAAATAGGTTTTACTGCAGATAGCTGAAAAGCAACTAAAATATCAACAAACTTGTAATACAGAAAATAGTAATGCACAACTCAAAGCATCTCTACTTTTTGACAGTAAAACTAAATGAACCTATATGTAGGATGAGAGTCTGAGTTAAATCTCAGCTTTAAAGTCAGACAGATCTGGATAAATTGGATAAACTGTACATTTAGCAGTATTTGACTCTACATCCAAATCGAGTGATTTTTGGGAAAAGACAAAGATACAAAAGCATCCCTTTTACATGCTTAGGTTTGGCTCCGATGCTTGACTTTGAAATCAAAGCCAACAACTTATTAGCTAGGTGACCTTGGGGAATGTTGTTTAACTTCCTAGGGATAAGTCAACAATTAATTGAGTATTTATGTGCAATAGGGACTATTAAGAACTAAAAGAGATACTGTATATAAAAGACCTTTAGAAATTGCCAGGCAGTATATAAGCAGTACACCTTAAAGACACACCCACTTTGATGGTTTTGGACTAAGAATAGCATTGAAATCTGATCCCTTAGGATGGTTATGCTTCTTAGTTTGAAATTAAGCAAGTTACTAATTGCCACACGGGGTTTTGGAATGCCAGGGGCTGCCTTTCTGAAACATTAATCACAAGGTTCTTACATAAATGAGCATAATTTTCACAGCTGAAATTTAACAAATTACATGAATTTTTAAAAGTTGAAGGATGTGGAGAAATTGGAATCCTCCTATGCTGTTGGTGTGAATGTACAGCCCCTTTGGAAACAGTTTGGCAGTTCCTCAAAATGTTAAACGTAGAATCATGGTAATATCTAGCAATTCCCCAGCAAGGCATATGCCCAAGAGGAAATGAAAACATCTGTGCACAGAAAAACTGATACACAAATGTTAATGGCAGCATTATTCATAACAGCCGAAAGGTGGAAACAATTCAAATGTCCGTCAACTCATGAATGTGTGAACAAAATGTGATATATTAGCCATAAAAAGCAATAAAATACTGATATACATTAGAACATGGATGAACTTTGAAAACATTATTATAAATGAAGTAAGGCAGAAACAAAAGGCCGTACCTCATTTTACTGCACTTTACAAATACTGCATTTTTACAAATTGAAGGTTTGTGGCAACCCTGCATCGAGCAAGTCTCTTGGTACCCTTTTTCCAAAAGCATTTGTTCATTTCACATCTCTGGGTCACACTTTGGTAATTCTTACAGTATTTAGAACTTTCTCACTAATCATATTTGAAATGGTGATCTGTGATTTTGCCTGTCTGAAAGCTCAGGTGATGATTAGCATTTTTTAGCAATAAATTTTTAAAGTAGGTACTTTTTTTTAGACATGATGCTATCTCTCACTTAACAGACTACAGTGTGGTGTACACGTAACTTTTATATGCACTGGAAAAGCAAAACACTCATTCGCCTTGCTTCACTGAGTAATCTGCTTTCTCGCGGTCTGTGGTGCCCATCACGCAGTGTCTCCGAGGTTTGCCTGTACTGCATGACCCCATTTAAATGAAATGATGAACCATACAAAACAGCCAAATCTACAGAGACACAAAGTGGCTTAGGCTGCCAAAGACTAGGGAGAGGAGAGAGAAGGGCAAAATGGGAAGGCACTGCTAAAGTCTCTGGGATGAGAAAAATAGTCTAAAAGTAGATCATGGTGACAGCTTACATTTACTTTGTGAATATACTAAAAATCATTGATTTGTATACTTTAAACAGGTACACTTTATGGCATGTAAACTACAACTAACTAAAGCTGTTATAAAATAGTACCAATATCTGCATGATGTTGAGCAAGTCAGTTTATTCTCTGACTGCAAACTTATCTGTTCTGTGTGGTTTGTTAGCTGCCTACGTGGTATATCAGGTCCTGTGCAGTAATGAGCTATCATCAGTTCTCAACATAACTTCCTTTATGATCTCATTTCTCAGAGGTGGGCGGATGCAGAGAAAACCACCAGAGGAAGTAAATCAACTCCCGGGGTCATCCACTGCTCACAGTGCAGCTACCTTCAACAATCTGTATTAAGTATCATGAATCCAACTCTATGCATTTTGTTAAACAAGTGCCAATTAAGGGGGAAATGGAGACAAAAATAGCATGAATTGAGCAAACGATGAGAAAACAGTTTTAAAAACTCCACCAGATACTGACAATCTTGTAACTCCTTTTGGAAACCTGGTCACAAAAGAACAAAAATGGTCTTTTCAGAATCACTTCCTATGCTAATTTTCTAATCTCTGTGGAAGACCCAGCTTTCACAAGGTCTATGATAATTATTTTAACTGTTCCAACAACCAGCCAGTATGTCTTTTGAATACGTTTCTATCCTTTATTAGAAATATTTTATTCACTTCTCATATGGTATCATTTATACAAAATCTGTAATAATTAGATAATATGAAATGAGTTGTTATGAAAAGTTTGTGTGTTAAACACAATTTTATTCCAACTTTGAATGAGGTAAAATATCAAAGAGCTAAATGTCTTTAGTGTATTATAATTTCATCATATACCAGGCTTTCTTACTCATTAAATATCTATTTGACACCTACACAAAAAAAATTGAGCAGTGGTATGCTTCACACTTAAAAATGTGAATGAATAGCTTAAAGTGATTTTGTAAGTTCACTGGTAGTTCTTGAATTTTAAAAATTCATTTTCAAATAATTAACCTATGGAGGTAATTGGTATGTAAAAAAAAAAACTGCTAGATGAAAAATGGCAGAAGCAGCTCCCGAATAACTATGGGAGACAACAGAGACTGGATTAAGTTTTTCTTAAACATCTGGAAGATCTGTCCGTGATCACCAAGAGCAGCTGACACCGTATGCCAGTAAACGTACTAACATACAGAACAGGGAATGTGCAGGGCACCCAAGAGCATACAGGAGTTCAGTACTGAGGCAGTGAATCCTGGCTGGGAGGAGGAGAGTCAACTCTTATCTGAAGGATAATTTGTTAATTTATTCAAGCCATTCAGGACCTACTGCATCCCAGGCACGGACTGGCAATGAGAATGAATACAGTAGTGAATATAAACAAGCATTGTATTTGCCCTCACGAAGCTTCTAGTCTACCAAGAGAAAGATAATGAACACCATTTGAGTACAAATGCTGCGAAGGAGATGTATGAAGGACAATAAAGGAGAGCGCCTTGGCCGATCAGGAACACCTCTCTGAGGAAGGTCTATTTAAGAACGGCCTGGAGAGTGAGCAGTCAGCCACAGGAGGAGCAGAGGGACAAGCATCCCAACCCAGGGAATGTCAACCCGTGACAGCAGTGGTCAGATGGCAAGGTGGGGAGTGTGCCGTGAGAGCTGAAAGGCCAGTGCAGCTGGAAGCACAGTGAGGACTTGGGCACACAGGGCTTTGTTAACACATACGGTTGGACATTACTCCAGAACATCAGAAGTTTCAACATACAAGGACATCATGGTCTTACATGTTTTCAAAATATTCCCTGGGCTGCTGTGCAGAGAACAAGTCCCAGAGAAGAGGCTGCTGCAGTCATCCTAAGAGAGGGCGATGCTTGGCCCAGTAGGAAAGCTACAGATAGGACATTTTTATGAAGTGAAAAACAACAGGATCCCCCAAAAAGAGAGAAAAGAAATGAAACAATTTATTTATCAACTGGATGAGGGAATGAGGGAAAGGAAGAAATCAAAACTGAGCTGAGCAAGATGGAGAAGAGTTAATAGAGTTAAAGGCGGAATCAGTTCAATGCCATAATACATGCTGAGTTTGAGATTCCTAAGGGACAGCTCAGCAGAGATGTAAGCTGAGCAGGTGGAGATGTAAAGTCTAGAGCTCAGAGGGGAGGTGGGTCTGGGCTTTCCATGTAAATCTGTAGTTAGTATGGTCTGCTTTTGGAAGTACATATTCAGTTATATACACACTTCTAGAATACTTAGTTAGATTTTTGAGAGAACTGGAAAGAGTCAGTAAAATATGACAGTTTTTAATCTATTTAATGCCTTTTGGGGTATGGGGTCAAATGCAGAATTTTAAAACTAGAATGCTTTTACATAGCTAAAATAACATACTGAAAAAAAACAAAAACCCAAACCTAGGGTTTCCTCAGGGAACATTTCAAATGGGGCGGGATAAATAAAATGGAGTAAAACATAATTATAAAACTCCATAACTTCGCAGTTGTAAGATTTCACATAAGACAAACCCTATTTTAGAATCACATAGGAGTCAATAATTTTACATTTCCCTCCAATTTCTCTATTGGTTTTATCCTGGTATCTCTTTCATTAAGACTTTTGTAATACCTTTTTTTTTTTTAAAGATAGACAACTATAGTCCTTGTGAAAGCTGTAACTTCAGTGACTGACAACATTGATAAAGGTAAAAACTTTACCTAACACACAAAAACACTGAGATTTTTCACAATAAAAAATTACTTCTTGGTAAATGTCACTATAAAAAACATAAGTATTACTTATACTCTTAACTTTGCACCTGCAATAACATTACTCACCGATCTTGGCTGCCCTGAGAATCTCCGGTTATAATCATTAATATCTTGGTACAATGGTACAACATCCTGAGACTGGTCATTTTCACCAAATACTGTTAGCAATAAAGTTACCTGTATATTACAGGAAAAATATTGTTACCTTATTGCAGCAATAATTTTTTTCATTCTATGTTATCATTCAATAGAATGAATTTGTATTTCACTCATTTTGTTTAATAAAGGCAACACAGGAGGAAGGTACGTTATTACTGCTTAGAATAAAATCCATTTGCAAAACGTTATTTTGAACTCCTATAAAACCAAATGGGTACTTTATTGAAACAGTGATTCTAGTATTTCCCAATCTATACCAGGGATAAAGCCTGCAGTTGCTCTGGGCTAACAGGTATTTGAGGATATAAGAATGGTGAGAAAACATTCAGGAGCAAAGTGACATAAAAATACATACCTATTACTTTAAGAGAGAAAAATTAGGGTTTTTTAAAAATTAAAATCATGATCCCTTATCCTTGTTGGTATTTAAATATCTTTGAAAGCTATCAGCCATAATAACAAAGATCAAGCTACTGCCGGGACCAGCTCTCCAGTGCCCACCTTCAAGAAAAGTAATTCTTGATCCTTTTACATAACGCATTTGTTTCCTCAATGGAGGTAAAGAGGATACACAAGGACCCCTAATCTCAAGACAATGGTACCTTGCAGAACAGGGACATTTTAAAATAGGACAACCCTAAAGAAAAGGTCACTGTACAATAAGATAAAAATGGGAAGCAGCAGTGACAGATTTAGTTTAAACCATCTAGCTGCTGTTAATATCCTTCATCAGTTCGGCTGTAAAACCAGGGCCTCCCACTGCTCAGGGGTTTTCCAAGCAGCTACACACAGGAGTGGCTAATAGCAGTAGATGGTAGGAACGGGAGGCACAGCCATCTATTCAAAAGTTTGTTAACAAAAATGCAATCTTTCAATAGTTATTAACTCAACATCTACTGTGGGGCCAGGCACTGTGCTAAGTGCTAGATATACAGAAACAATGAGGATGTGGCCCTGCCCCTTGCTGCCCACAATACCCAAGACAGAGGGGAGGCAGACCTGTCCAGCAGCCCATCACGAGGACTGTGGGAGGCGTTCTAATCACGCTTGTTAGGGCTTCCGCCCGGAATGTCCAGAAAGCTGGAAACTTAAGCTAGCCCTGTTGGCGTTTTAGTGTATGTGTTCAGGAAGAGAAGTGGTGAGTGTGTTCTGGTCAAAGGCAACAGCCTGTGCATTTTTCTTTCCAATGGAGTAAGAGATGGAGCAGGGACCTGCCATCTGTCTTGCCTCTGGGATGAATTACTCTACAATTAGGGAACCAAAAACTTTTATATTAAAACAACTTCATCTCCACCTTCCTACCCTCTAGTCAATTTATGAGTAGTCCAAAGGATACCACCTGCTAATATATATATATATATATATATGTCTGATGGAAAGCCATGGTAGAACCAAGAATGGGGGACAGGTGGTGGAACTAACTCTTTAATGCCAGGGCTATGGCACGTCTCTCAGTGTTGCTGGCAGATAGCTAAAGATGATGAGAGGTGGTACTGGCAAAGAAGCTCCAGTGTGGACTGCCTGTGTCACACATCAAATCAGACAGAGAGGCAGTACAGAATCCACTTTCTTCCTGACCATGTGACAGAAAGTTAAATGTGAAAGGGGTAGAAATTTGGGGATGTACAAGCAAGCAAGAGTCTCCCTTTCTAGACCAAAGAAGCAAGCAGTGTGATGGGGAAGTAGACGGCCAGAACAAAGGCTGGAAGGTATGTACGTGTGCATACGTGCACATGTGTGTGTACATGTACATATGTATATACACTTGACAATACATACTATATGGTTTTATTTATTTAAAAATTCAAAAATCCCACAAGATTGAACATTAACCTTAGAGGTGCATGCTAGCATAATAAATCTATAGAAAACCAAGGACATGCCTGTCATAAAGGTCCAATGGTAGTTACCGCTAGGGAGGAAGGAGGGGGTGGAGATTTGGAAGGGGTCCTGAGGAGGCCTCTGGAGCTGTTGGCCAGTTTCTATTTCCTCATCTGCGTGGTGATGACTGAAGTGTTGCTTTGTGATAATTCATATGAGCTGTACTTCTTTGTTTTGAGTGCTTTTCTGATGTGTTACATTTTATAAATGTTTGAAAAATTTCCATCTCTATCATTTTATTTTTCAGTCTCTGTAGGTTTATGCCTTTACAAAATGTCCTTTACTGTTGTTTTTAGTGGGGTTACAAGAGAGAACAAAAGCAAATATACATATCCAATTTGACGTCTTTACTTGGAAACTTTCTATCCTCACTTCAGTATTTTACATACTGGAAGACTCCCCAGGGAGATGCTGTCTTCTTACATGTGCATAACCTAGTATCAGAAAGGTATATATTTTTATTCGAAATGAACAGTGAAATAAATATGAAGGAAATATGAAAAAACTGTATGTCCTGTTTTCCTGTATTTGCTAATATAAACACTAAACCTCAGTTTCTCAGATTTTTTTGTGTTTTGTTTTTCCAGTTTGTCAAAGAAATGGAGAGAATTTGGTGCATCTCACTTGTGTGAACATTTCAGTCTTCTGTGTGTGGTTATAAAGACTTCCTGCTCTCTTCTGAGGGAGCTTCTGTGCTAACTATAATGGTTTAATCTGTTAATGTGGTTATATCTCCAAAAGAGATATTCTGAAAAATTATTATTCATCATTTAAAGCTATGTAGACCTTCACTGGAGAAGGGCAATTAAAAATAAATTTAAAAGGAAAAGCAATTTTTTTCAAAAGGAGTACATCTGTGGGTCTTTGTGTAAGGGACACTGATGAGCTAGGTTAGTTACTCCTTCATTGGTCTTACAACAGAGACTTACTAGGGTTTGGGGGAGAATTCATTTACCAGCTGTTTTTTACTACACCTGAAGGATTTCAAAGGGAAGTCTTTTTTTTTGGTATCTTAAACAAATTTTTAAAAATAATGGAGTAAAATCATAGAAGCTTTGGACAAATGAAATTCTAAAAATACCAAAATAATTCAGAAGTTAGATACAGAAACTATAAATATTTAAAAAATGAACTAGCATAAATGATGTTTTCTGGATACAAACATTACCTTTTGTCTACAGATTGGACAACTGATTGCCCCAAGCCATGAACCGTATCGCCAGTATGCAATAATGCAGGTACCTAATGGGAAAAAAAATTAATACTGATGGTTTAAAGACCATGTATCTTGAGAGAGTTTCAATTATTTGAAATACTTTAACAGTATCACCTTATTTTAAAATATTTTTTACTGCAGTTAACTATTCAGGCAAATTCAAATCTAATAATTCTCAGCCATTGAAAACTATTTTTAACTACTAGTTAATATACAGACATTTTTACATTATCAAAAACAAGCATGCATTTACTGCTTCAATGCTATGAGGCCTAACAGAAAATACTGCACTTGCTATGTGATTAAACATCATTGTAAATATGACAACATATCACAGCATAAATTTATGTTCCAAATTTGATATCTATGTTACAAAAACATAACTATTTTTTAAGAGCCTACAAAGCCAAATTACTGAAGTATCAATAATAGTAATTAAGTAGTGTGAGCAAGGAACCAAAGGAGACCAAGATTACATGCTCTCTGCCCTAATAAAGTTGATAATCCAGTTCAATAATTGAATCGACTTGTGTAAGAAATCCATGTTTTCTGCTTGATGGTGTTCATGTGCAGGAGAACAGCTAAACATAGCTTAAAACACTCAAAAAGTGGTAGCGAGCTAAGAGTAGAAGCACCAACGTTTAGACTGACGACAAATGAAGGAGTATTTCTAAGTACTGTTTAATGTTTAAGGGGCCACTTCTTTCTCTTCTCTGCAGGACACCTGCTTCTTGGATCATCCAGGTCCCACTGTGGACCTGAACTAAGTGCTTCCTCTCTCCCCTCTACCTCCAGGATCTCCTGTGTATTCTTACTCTTCCTTAGCAACCCAGCTTAGGCCTCCTCTGTTCTTTATTCTGATTTTTTCCAGATCAAGTAAATGTCCAGATTTCAGAACAAGCAATGACTATAAAATTGAGGAGACCAAGGCGACATACTGAAAGGGAGAACTCTCTGGGGTTGAGTAACTTGTAGAGTAGATAGGACCTGAACTGAACTTTGTAGAAGAGTAAGATTTAGATAGAAAACAGGAGGATGGACACTTGAAGTTCTATGAATAAATAGCAAGAGCAAATGCCAGCAGCAGAAATAAATGGTGTATGAGGACCTGGGGAGCAAACCAATGGGCCCGGGAAAGGCCACCCTAACTGGACACTTGTGTGACTGGGGGAAACTGATACAATGATTTAAAGGTGAATTTAAAAGCTAAACAATCTTTACCTGATATCTTTTCCTACTCTCAGAGAACTATGTTAACTAGATAATACTAGGTTATTTGAGCAATGATTTCATATAGAAATATATGAGAGCAAAACTTACAAATCGGCTGGTATTATCACCACCTATAACAATGCCTTACATTTACCTACTGCATTTTCACCCAAAGGTTCAATGTATTTTGACATATATTAACTTATTTAATTAAACATTTCTTTATCACAAATTGGGGTATAGATGTCCTTGCCTGCAGTGAAAAACTATGGGCCAGAAAATCCCACTCTTCAGATCATATACATCTGATTATTAAGCCGAAGAGCTCTTAATATACATGGTATCACATACTTGAACTACTAGTCAAAGAAACACATTTCTTTTTATTGAGCAGCTGAATAACTAATTATTTGTTTTTAACCTCTGAACCTACAGACAGTAAATAAAAGTGTCTAACAAGTGGAGCAGGGTATCAGAAGCAATCTATCCTATGTACTCACAGCCAGAGGTAAAACCAAGAACACAATACAACCATCTTTCAGTTGACTGGGTCATGCATTCAGTGAATTACCCAAGCCTGTGTTGGCAGAGACAGTTCACCTTGCCTACCAAACCTCACTATTCCTAACACTGCTGCACTAGAGGATGGCTGAGGTCATAGCCAGACTCTGAAAAAGAATGTCCAGTTGATTGGGAATATTATGAGAGGTTTGAGAGGGGGAGGTACCTGCTTTCTCTCATGGCCATTTAATTATCTCTATCTGGTCTTTTATAAATCTGCTGCTCATTGGCATTTCCAGCAGATAATTAAAAGTAGACATTAAAGTGTTTTATAATGTTTTAGGAACTTACGCAAAAACCTAAGGAAAAAGGTTGAAATTAATGGAGTAAACAATAATGGAATTGGTCAGTACTTACTAAATGAGCACAGGGTATAGGAAATCTTGCACTGCATGGTATGGATTTCAAATAGTTAGGTCATCCCTAAAAACACAAACAGTAACACTGTATGCCTAAGAATTCTACATAATGAATCTCAGACAGAAGTTATAAAGGGGAGAAAGCTATAATATGATCACTGTATGCTACATTTTTTTTTTAAGTTAATGTTTACTTTTTAATTGTGAAATTACTGGATTTTTGTGTCATCTGTGCATTTACCCTTCTGTGGGAGTGGAATAACACCTGAAACGTGTAACAAAATCTATGTCTTCATTTTTCTTACAATGGTACAGCTATATAGCTTCTCAGATTTTGCATGTATAACACAACAGTAGAGGTAGGTGCATACTACTGTGGCTCTATGTTAGGCTGTAATCGTTAATATCCAGGTCAGAGCCCAGAGGCACTACTTCTAAGACTTTGCATGGTGAATTTCTAGAAAAATAGAGAATTTGGGTTATTATAGAGGTTCTTATCAATTTTTTTAGCAGCACTTTAATACAAAGGAAACAGACTGAGCTGGAAAAAAAACCCTCCCTATTAAAGAAGAAAAGGTACTCTGTTGTAGTAGGGTGTTGTAGGGAAGGGAGGGTAGAAATTTCCCCAAGGTTTATAGGTATATGAACTACATATGGCTAGAAAGAATTTTAATACAATTCAGGAAGATC